CCAGGTGCTGAACTAGATGTCATATAACATTTAATTAGATGAATTACTTTATATCACACACAGATAAAAAATACTGACAAAGAAAAATGACAAATTATTGTTATCTTACAATTATTATTACAAACATAATGGTGTATCAGCTTATCTATGCTTTACAATAAACGATAATTGTTCATGTAAGTACTATGTATTATGATGGAACTTTATAATATTCGATCTATAGTTGTCACCGCAGTCAACATAACAAATTTTTTCAGCTATATTGACAGGTACCGACAGGCATTCTAAAAATCCATAATAATCAACGGTAGGAAGCTGTTGGGTAATAGATGGACATTTCCACAAAGTACTGAAACTTGACTGTCCTGTATTTAGTAATCAAAACAACTAATGTAGACTAAACATTATTCAAAAACACTGAATTATTTTTCTACAATGTCTGTGATTGATTCTACCTGTGTAAGTGTTGAGCAGAATAACTAATTTGCTTCCTCAAAATATACGTCAATTAGGTGGATACTGGACAGCCCTAAAATCCGATAAAATCGTTAACGCTTTCAATACTTCGTGATATTTTTTTACTACTACACAAAATGAGTAGTAATTTATGTAACTGTCATTCGTATACCTAGGAATACAAAGTTTTACAGAAAAGTTGCCACAGCTATTTTGCTCTACAACTATTGGATTTTTCCTAGTTTAGTGGAAGTCCAGGGGTCGTCCAAAGGGGGTTTTCATAAAGTGTCCGGGGATCCCCCAGAAACATGATGTTGTGCACCCCAGCACAACGATCCGCATCACATTCACACCACCCTGTACAATCAGCCAGGCGACATCATCGCAGTGCGCATGCTCAGGCAGACAATGAGCAACGATTTCATTTCATCTGGCCCGGATATCAATCCGGTCAAGAAGTGAATCTAACTCATCAACATATCTGAGCATTGGACACGGTTAAAATTGAAACTTATTATTTTCTGTGATTTATGATATTAATGAATAGGGTTTTGGGTACCTAACCTACCTAGCCAGTTAACATACTTTGTTATTATGTAGTTTATCTTATTATTTACGGAACCAAAAATTATAATTATAATTCGTTTTTAATTTGATGCCAAGTAGATAAGTGTTCCTAATTATTTTTGATACCAGATTACCTCGGAAAGGGAAGAGCATATTTTCATTAGTAATGACTTGAGTATTTCATTTATTATGCTGTAGGCTTAAGTTCATTTTGTCAATTTTTGTCATTGTTAAAAAGAAACGCTAACGGACGGTTTATATTAATAAAAAAATATTATATTTTAAAAAAATAAGGTGTGTTCGAGGAAAAATCTCAAATGCACCCAAATATCTGGAGTTTTTGAAACTTTCGTCCGGCGTCAGTAATTTGGGTGAATGGTAACCTCCTATGTTAGATTAATTCATCTGTTCGAACACATCCATTTTAATGAATCTTTAACCACTCTCTGAGCTGATGAAATGAGCAAGACAGAAATTAGTATTACAGTTACATAATTGTAATTACTGTATTTATAATGTTTCTTATGCAACCTGAAGTATAGAAAAAGTAAATAAATAAACGATATCTACATGAATATACAAGGTCAAGCAAACCATTTTAGGTAAAATTGCAATAATTACACAAGCAGTTTAGGTTTAGTTCTTGATCCTTGATTTCTGTTGGTAATAAAATGCTATTGTTTTCATTCATCACCAAATGTTAGATCTATGGCATACGTAATGCACCTTATTACTTAAAAAGAAAAATGACGTCAAGTAGATTGACTCTATACTTCCAATGCCTGCGAAACAACGTCTAGTACAATTTTTCATGTGGTGCAATGACAAAGGACGTAGCTCGTAAGTAGTAATAGCTTGAAGTAATGCACTATTTGGGCTTTTCATGAAAATAAATTTCCTCAGATTGTGGCAATGAGCGTATCTGTACATGGCAGCCTCAATTCTTTGGAGCTCTGTCTGGTGTAAAACTGCTTTTCATGTTTGATAACTGATTATATAAGCTCTTGATAAATACTTATATACTATACTATATAATATTACTTCACGAAATCAAATAATATCATTGAATTGCACTCCAGGCAGAACGCTCATACACATATTTGGATAATATCACGCCCACATCGTATGTCGCCGCGAATACCAAAGGGGCAATTCCAGTAGTTCCTAGCCAGTAGGTGTGGGAAGTAAAATGAATTCAAATAGTCAAACTAATGAGAAGCAGGATCCTGACATGTCAGTTTGTTAGGCTTTTTTGAAATTCAACCAATGATGTGATCTCAAGAAACATTAAAAAAATGTGTTATCGAAAACATTGAACAGTCAAATCGTATAAGTGCGATAAAGATGTATTAACGTGCTCGGTTTTTAAACATAAAGCATCAAAACCTATCATAACATCTCAAAAACCCGCCAGTGATTAATAACTGAGATACATGAAAAAAATATATATGTAATTAGAGACACGTACATGCTCTACATAACCCGTAATATTTCAAGGTCATTTTAAAATGCATCTTTCACTGATAAAATCATTCATCAAACCGCATATTGGATTCGTTGTACTTTTCTCCTTAAAATAACCTTCTGTGCAATCTATTTTGCATCCAAGTAATGGAAATAGCCAAAATTATGACGATACTGTAGTGGGTACTGCTATCAGCGTTCTTATCTACTTCTCAATGTTATTGCCACGCTTGTTACCGTTGCCAATTATCAGTTATTGTTAAATTGAGTGATGTTTTCTACCAGCAACATTTTAATGAAGAAAAATCAAACAAAACATTTATGTAAATTGATCCGCGACATAAAGGCTATTTACAAAAAAAATCATGATTGTGTCTTTCAGCTTTTTAAAATGACTGAGGCACAGTTATTATGCAACCCCAAATCCCAACGTCAAAGTTAAAATTTCGTGAATCAATTGGTTTATCCTGTTAGTTACCCATGTATCCGACAAACTAAAGGAGAAAATATTTTACCCGTAGTCATGATGATTTCTTAGAAACCACACAACTACCTCATTGTGAGGATAAATGCTGCATTCAAATAAGGAGGTATCACCACTAAACTGATATTCGTAGTGCACTAAACATAACCTTGAAAGCGCTACTAGTGGTAAAAATAAGAGTTTTAATTTGCTTCATCTTCCATGTTTTTTACGGTCCTGAATCTATCAAATTAAAAATAAATGGGAAAAATATAATCATAGTTTCCAAGTTTTTGTTTTTTGTTTGTAATAAACTGCTTTTTTGATATGCACTATATTTAAAATAGACACATACAAAATTTACCTAAACATCCCGTTTGCTTTGGACTTTTTATCTCCTACCAGCTACGAGCTTCAGGGATACTTCTAAACTGGCATGTTTCGACGGTCTCAACAAAACCAATTTTCCACTTACCGTTAGTACATGGGTTTTGCGATGCCAATATGAGGCTTATTACAATTCCTAATGCAACATTGAAAAAAATTCGGACTCGACCCACAAATCATGTAAAAGGAAAGAAATCAAACCTACCCAAAAACTATTCTGGTAAAACACGATTCGCCTGGATTATGAATAGTACAATAATTATATTCCAAAGTTACAATATTTCTCTCTGTCCGAGGTTCGACATACTGCTAACGAGCCTTTGAGTTATGGATATTCTTTCCACCGGAGAGGGGGTAAAAATATCATGGCGGTGGACGGATGGACATAGCATTTTAGCTTTATTTTCAAGAAATTTTTTAGGGGCGGGCCAATATTGAAATGTCATTTTGTCCAAACAACAAAACTGGAAACTATCTGTTTTGTGCAATTTTGAGGAAATATATATAGTTTTATATTTTAAACATGCAAAGTGAAGGCAATTCAAGATTTTTGGATATTTTTAGAATTCTGAAAATAATACAGTTACTCGTTAAAAAATACTTTCTTATATACTTCAATATTTTTCGTTGATTCAAAAAATAACGGAGGATAGTTGACTTATTTTGATGTAAAGTGTACGTTTCTTTCCAGATATGTCACGCATCACAAAAGAAACATGTAGGTACAGTGATTTTTCAGGAAAATCCTCAGAATTATTCTTTCAACTGGTCAAGTTAGCCAAGCTGAAATGAAAGTGGTGAAGCGGACGCGTGAATACTGTATTTCAATATAAAAATAATAGCTGAAAGTTTCAAGCTCTTATAACATTTTTTAAATCGAACGGAGGGTCATGTGATACGTTATTTTGAAGCTCTTTATGATTATTTTATAACCCTAGTATATTGTATATTAAATGTAGTATAACTCAACAACTAATCACCAAAGCGTTATAGTAATATCACTCTTCTTCCTTTGGAATGGTTTATTTTTAATGTCCAATAAAATATAGGACATCCAGAGTTTGACAATTGAAATGGAATGTCTCATATTGTATTACATATTTGGATTGACCCTCCAAAGAGAAGAAAATTAATACATATACATTCGCTTTCAGAATTCGTTGTTGAGTTATAAGGGCTCAATGTACAAGAATGCTTCAACTGTGACAGCCTGTGGATTCGCCAATTTGAAAGATGACTTCGACTGCCTCCTATACTCAAACCCCAAATTTCAGCTTGCTGACTTGACCCGTTAGAAAAATAAGTAGGAAGGGGACTTTTATATAGGCAATGTAATCTCTCCATGGGTTACAATATGACTATTAAAGCTTCAAACAGGTTTAAAATATTCGAGGCTACCATCTACGATTTCCAAAACCCATATCCCAACTCTCTTTATATACGCCCGCCACTGCTTTCCACCATGGTGGTGTTTGACTCAAAACAATATTCTGGATAAACGCTAGTAAAGCAAGTTCAAATAAGCTCAATCTGCGCGTGTTCTCACTAATACCACTGGACAAGGAATGTAGATAGGGCGCCATTTTTTTGTATAAAGTCTTTATTAATTTGTTGTTGCTGATCTGAAAACAACTTAATCAAATGTTTTATCTTCTATGTGCAGGGTATGGCTTTTACGATTGAAGAAAGGCAAGCACTTGGAATCCATGGCCTACTACCACCTAGAGTCAAGACACAAGAAGAACAGCTCGACCATTGCAGGAAGTGCTTGGACGCGATTAAAGATGATCTTCACAAATATATCTATTTGGCAGGCCTCATGGTAAGTGCGATTCAATAGATAATAACGTAATTATTGATTACATTATTACTGTTAGCATGCGTTGGAATATATACAATAAAGTTTATTTGGTATTCAAGATATCTGGCCAAAAATTAGACAAATTTGAGAATTCTCAGTTCTTTTCTTGCACTCGGAAGTAACTGAAATCAGTTTTTTTTTATGTAATTGCTAATTCTGATCTTTTTATGTGCCAGTAAGTTTGCTATCATTGTTCTACCCAGTTAATCTATATTTTCTCGAGAGCTAAAAAAAACATGAAACAGATGTTTGCTCCATTTATGGTGATTTAAACATTTGTTGTGGCGTAAAATGATTCTAAATCTAGAAACTCGTGCAGTATTTGATTTTGCAAATTGTTTGCAGGACCGAAATGAGAAACTATTCTACGCCTTCATCCGCAGAAACATCGAAGAAATCATGCCATTGGTATACACACCCACCGTAGGTCTAGCATGTCAGAAATTCGGTTTAGTATTCAGGAGGCCTCGAGGTCTCTTCATCACGATCTATGATAAGGGGCACGTATACGACGTACTCAAAAACTGGTTAGTATGACCAACATTGAAAATGTATGTTCCAAACAACGAATTCGAATAGTTTATAAAAATATATTTAATATTTATGTTTACATGGCAGTATTTGTCGTCAAAATTACGTAATTTTAGTCCATACTTTAGTGCAGATTTTCCTACCAACGGCAACCAATGTGACAATACACTGCAATCAAATAGCCAATCACTCTGTTATTATTAACAAACAAGGATAAATCAAATAAGGCCCGGAAATGAAAGAAAATATATTTATCCGCTTAAACCGTGATTTAGGGGTGCAAATAATGATAAAAATTGTCTTCGTCTAACAGCAGCAATGGCGGGATACCTGATACTGGAAAAAGTGGAACACCTTGCATGAACTCTACGTTTTTTTTTCTAAATAGTTGTGATTTGAGCATATTATGAACAGCACTGCTGTTTAATCATTGCCACTGTATTGATCCGATGAAAATACTTGGAAGTTATTTAATTAATTGCATATTCTGAGATTTTTGAAGTGTGCTACTGAGCTTGCTTAATACAATCACGTAGCGCTAAAATGAGAAAACGTAAAATTACTATTTATAACGCGAATGTGAAGACCTTCGCTGAAAGCTTTTATGTTCAAGATGAAAGTAGATAAGACTTACAGTTAAAGTTTCGGTTGAACCCATTCATTTTCCATCAAAAATGTTTGTCTCCATTTTGCATTTTTCATTATTGTTATGTATAAAATTTTAACAAACCTTTAAGTGGGATTGAGCATTCGAAGAAACGAGAAGTAGAGTTAAACAAACGAAAATTACTACAACAGTCCAATTAAAACCCCAATGTGATGTTCTTGCCCTTTCGCAATGCCGATGGCACTTATCGATAAAAAGATCTGCTTTTATTCAGCTTAAACTGCCTTTTGCAATCCACAGAAACCTTCAAGGTCGCCACTCGTATGGAACACTAGGACTGTATGAAACTCACGCTTTTTTTGTTTTTGCAGAACAACACAAATTTAATCCGAAATGTCAACAACTGTCAAACTGGTGGCATTTGTAATACGCACTCAATTTTGGATCAAAACAAATCGCTCCTTCTACTTAGTTAGAATTCGTTGATTTCAAGGCATCTTAAATAGCATAGATCATAGGCAGTATAAATGACAATTCTTGTATATAGTATAAGAAAAAAATCTACATTTATTCGTTCATCAAGCAGTTATAAATTTTCAGGCCTGAAACTGACGTCCGTGTAATATGTGTAACAGATGGTGAGAGAATATTAGGTTTGGGAGACCAAGGTGCATGCGGAATGGGTATTCCAATTGGAAAGCTTTCCCTATACACAGCATTGGCTGGAATCAAACCACACCAAACCCTGCCCATCACTATCGACGTTGGTGAGTTGCGTCATTTCCTCATTCTAATTCCTCTTTTCAACTCCCATCGTACTTGCTCGACTATTTGACATCAAGATAGTAACAGATTATTTTCTATATACAGTACCGAGCAAAAGTGGAGAAACAAACCACATTACAAATAATAATCCAAAAAGATTTACTCTAATTCACTAAAGTTTTTTATGTATGACTACCTCAAGATAATGAAATGCTTATCTTTGTATACATTCTTTTTTTTCAATACAATATGGTCGGATTTTTGATCAACGTGCAAAAGTAGAGAAACATTTTGTAAATATTTAGTTTATATTTTTAGTCGTTGATCAGAATAGGTGTTATTTCTGAGTGTATTTGGTAAAGTGTACATAGTTCAAAAACATGGCCAGAGGAATTACATTGAATTCTCAAATAAAAGAATTGATTATTTTAAAATATCGATCAGGCATTAAACAAGCAACCATAGCCAAACAGCTGATTTTGAACCAATCGGTAATTTGCAAAGCTATTAAGCTGTTTCGCCTCAGAAAATCGTTGGTAGACTGGTAGACCGCGAAAAACCAAACCTAGGATCGATAGGAAAATTAAAACGCTTGCTCTTAAAAATCCATTTACTACTGCTGTCGATATAAAAGCTCAACTTGAAGAATTAAATATTGGTGTCCACACTGTTCGAAGACGTTTAAGGGAGAGTGATTTACCAGCAAGGAAACCATCTAAAAAAAACCTTTATTTCCAAGAAAAATCGGGCCGCCCGTCTTCAATTTGCTTACGACCATTTGAACTGGTCAGAAACAAGGTGGAATTCTGTATGATTTTCTGATGAAAGTAAATTTAATTTATTTTCATCGGATGGCATTTTATGAGTAAGACGTCCTAAAAACAAGCGATTTGATCCTAAGTTCATTTTGGGCACAATCAAACACGGAGGCGGGAAGGTTCAAGTATGGGGTTGCTTCGGTGGTCTTCAAATGGGACCAATCGTCAAAATTGAAGGAATTATGGACCAGTACAAATACTTGGAAATGTTAACTGATACCATGCTACCTTACGCAGAAGAAAACATGTCTCTACGCCGGCAGTTCCAGCACGACAACATCCCCAAGCACACAGCGAAAATAATAAAAACATCTTTTGCAGATCACAATATTAATGTCGTTAAGTTCAGAGTCCAGACCTTAACCCCATAGAGAATCTATGGGATTTAGTTGATAAAAAAATTCGGACTGAACATCCAGAAGAGTTCAAAAATAGTGCCGGACAATTTGAAACAATCGAAGTCGCCTGGAATTCTATTCCAAAAGAAACAATAGATAGCCTAATTGGTTCTATGAGAAAAAGATGTCTAGCAGTTATCAAAAATAAAGGTTATGCAACCAGCTTGTTTGTATACGACAATTGCTTTGTATATTATGTTTCTCTATTTTTGCTGTTGCTGTTGGCTTTGAATTACATGTTACATTCATTAAGTTATAATAAAACATAATTTAGTTTACTGTAATAGTTTTATAAAATCTTTCAAAAAATAAAATGTTTCTCCACTTTTGCTCGGTACTGTATATATATATATATATTGAATTTTTTTATTCCGAAGTAGCAGCCTAGACAGAAGCCTAAATTCCGGGGCACCTCGGCTGCTCTATGGAGGTTAAAGACTTTTTGTTAATCCGATTTTTGAACTGAACAATAGTAGAACTAGGACAAGGCTCCTCAGGTAGATTACTTCATAATCTCGTCACTCTATCGACAGAGGAACGGTCGTACTAACTAGTTTTGGATGTACGATATTCGTCGCGGTTAGGATGGGAGGGCGAAGTCAGGCGGGTCTGTCTGGCAGGCTCATTGCGCGGCGGCATCATGGAGGAGAGCTCTGGGGAGCAAAGCCTGTTGACATAACGGTAGAAGAGAGCCACATCGGCGAAGACCCGTCGGTGCGAAAGTGTGTCTAGACTGCCCGTTAGAGAATAGTCATCGATCAGTTGGACGGCCCTCCTCTGAACAGCATCCATAATGTAGTTGGGGCAACAACACCTCAAACATATGAGCATTACCTCGAGGCTGGCTCTTATCTGGGCCTTGTATATAGTGAGAAGGTCATGTGGGAAAAAGTACTTCTTAGCCTTAAACAAATACCTAGCTTTTTCCCAGCAGTTGCCGCGATTGACGAGATGTATTCATTCTACAATGAGTTGTTTTCCAGGTACCAACAACGAGACCCACTTAAACGACCCACTGTATATTGGCTTGAAACAGCAGAGGCTCAGAGGTCAAGAGTATGATGACTTGATTGACGAATTTATGCGAGCCGTGGCGAAGAGATTCGGACAAAACTGTCTGATTCAGTTCGAAGATTTTGGAAATTCTAACGCCTTCAGGTAAGAATCTTATGTCTTTCTGATCAACTAAATATATAATGATTTAGACGACGTCGATCTAAAACACCTCTTTGCACGGAAACTTTTTAAGGTACTGATATGAATGCTTCGTTTTATGTTCCATCCACATGAAATTGAATACAAGTTCTCGTACGAAAAAAAAAAGATCATAATCAATGTTAAATCTTCAGGTTCTTAGAAAAGTACAGGAATAACTACTGCACATTCAACGATGATATTCAAGGGACCGCTAGTGTAGCTGTATCTGGACTTTTGACGTCATTGAAGATCACCAAGAAAAAACTATCCGATAACGTAATTGTGTTCCAAGGTGCAGGAGAAGCCAACTTAGGTGAGTATTTTATTGATGTATTCGTTAAAAATTTCTTCAGTCTTTTTCCTACTTTGGACAGTTTGACCTCCAACCACACTGGCGCCGCCTAAGTGTGGGCAAAATTGGACATTGTTGCCATTGAGACTCAATTGAGCTGCTTTCCTATGGTTTTTGGTTTGAGAGTGCTATGTTCCCGAACTGCTATAGAAAATGTGCATTGGAATACAAAGTACAGTGGAACGATATTGACGCTGAGCACAACTGAGTAACTGGACTGGGTCACTGGAAAGCACCTCAGGACAGCAACCATATTGATTTCAAATTCCAAACCTGTCATCAGGAGACAGCACGATGTCCAATTTTGCTCATGGCAGGCGGCACTTGTGTGGTTGGACATCGAACTGTCAAAAGCAGATAGGCAAAATACAGATTTGATAGGTTTTTCCCGCACAAGCAGGGAACAAGTTCAGAACTAAACGTGCATAAAAATTCGTTCCACATGCCCATTTTTCTGTTTATTTTATTGATGTTTCTTGTTCCAACATCTATTTGTTCGTAACTAATTCGTTACTTGAAAAATATGATCTAATTACGATTGGAACATTTATTGCACACACAAGCTTAGGCTTGCGCAGTTGAAAGTTTTGCGTCGGGTTAACATTTGGAGGGTACATTTTGAATGTTTCTTTTCTTGTTTGGTGTTTGAGCCTGTTTGATTTGCATCATTGTTTACGTTTGAAACGAAAAAAAAAATGAATCAAGTGAAGATAATTACATTCTTTGTGCATTTCTATTTAGTGCGGTGTTTAAGACCCGAAAATTGAACGACCACTGACATCTTTTTACCGGGATGAGGCTTGGCATGGACCGAGTAGTCATCAAGACCTTACCACCATTTAAAAGTGGAGCCCAAGTAGCACTGGACGAGTGACCGATACAGACGCAATTTCGTGGATACAGGGTGTTGTATATCCCGAAGACGCAATTTCGTGAAGTCTATGTTGATGTATTAGGTCGATTCTAGCTCCGCTTTGTAGCTCCCGAATTAAACTCGCCATGAAGACTGGTGCCCAAGAGGCACCACTTGGAGGTCCTGGCTACGGAGGGTTGCATATTTCGCAGGGTCAAATTTACAAAAAGGAATTCGATCAGCGATTTTGCAGTATTTTAGCATTTCTTTGGATCCAGCTTCTTAACAGTATACCTACGTATTGAAACAAAGCATACGTGTCCCATATTTAAATGATATCTACCTTATCCAGGGCAAATGTTAAAATGTCATTGTCGGACCCCTTAACCACCGCACCAATTGTACTGGTGTAACTTTTCATTTTATTATAACGTACCATCAAGAAACTCGTACACCATACTTAGATGTTTAATTCACTGTTATTGAAGTTATTTCACACTTAGACTTATTTGAAACATTACCAGATAACAAACTAACGAAGCTATTCACAAATTGTGTGCCAAAGCGCGATATAAAACTGAATGTCATCCATCTCTGGGAAAAGTTGTCACAGAGTGACGTGACGTGTGCGAAAGAGAGATAGACTGATCGGATGAGGATCCGTTTCTCAAGTAAAAGCATCATGTGTCTGACTAATACACTGTAAACTATTAATGAATGTGATACGGCCCAAAAAGCAATGATCTCTTCCCTCATCAAGCGAACATTTTGCAGGTATCGCCCAACTATGCGTGATGGCAATGACGGCCGAAGGTACCCCCGAAGCCGAAGCAAGGAAGAAGATCTGGATGGTGGACTCCAAGGGTCTGATAGTGAAAGACCGACCAGAAGGTGGTATCAGCGGCCACAAAGTGCATTATGCCCATGAGCATCCACCCGTCAAGACATTGGTTGAGGTTGTGAAGACCATCAAGCCTACCATGCTGGTAGGAGCTGCTGCAGTTGCTGGGGCCTTCACCACGGAAATTCTGGAAGAGATGGCCAAGAATAACAAGGACCCGGTCATCTTTGCTCTGAGTAATCCAACATATAAGGCGGAATGTACTGCAGAACAGGCGTACACCATCACAAAGGTATTATGTTTCGTATGGGATACACAAGACAGTTCACTGTCTGCAAATTGAATTCGCCCTCTGTTTTACAATGCACGGAGGCTTTTGGTACCATAGCAGGGAGGCACTTCGTCCCACCTTATGTGGGTACAAGGATACTGAGTTAATGAGATGATAGTCGCACTAGAGAGAGCAGGATGAAGGCTTGTTGGTTCAGAGCTAGCCTTATGTATGGCTGCGAAGAGTTGACTGGACAACAATCGATCAATGTAATTCCCGAAACTTATCCTATGGTTTTCCGGTTCATGGGACTGACAAATATTTACAGTATATTTTGTTTATCTGTCTTCCAGTTGACAGTATTTATTTATTTTTTGATTTCGAGTCACAACTCTACCAACTCTACTATGTGGAGTATAACATCTTTGAACACTTTAACACGGCAAATGGGAGATCACTTTTGAGAACGTCTTAGAGGGTGGACGTCATTGCCTACTTCTATAGATAGAAACAATCTATGACTAGTAGGACTCCAGTCTGATCAAAACATGCTAACTGCAGGGTAGTAGAAGTAAAGTTATCGACGCACATTTTGTGTGGTTGTAGGGCCTGGGAAACTACAGGTAGACCACACCACAACCATATAAATGTGTATGTTAGCATGAAGTTGAACAGACACATAGGCCCGTTTTTTGAAGCGCAGGTTAACTGGAACATTACTGCGAATTAGAAGTTAACTCTCAAAACGATTCTTGCAAGTATGCCTTGTTTATCCTAATAATTATGTCCAGTGGACCATCAATGGCTTGACTGGTGAGAATTTATAGACTTGCTAACGTTGGCACATAACCTACCCCAAAATTGCATTCTTTTTCACATATTTGCAGACCAAAGTAACACATCTGATAATTCATATTATTATTTAAATAAACTAATTAAGATATATCAAACAGTCTCAAAGGGAGCCACGCCAGGCAAAACAGAAGATAATACGTGATGTCAAAAAGAGCGAAAAGCACGCGGAAAAACCGGCTGATCTGACGCAACAAACACGTGATTTGCAGGCTCTCTTTCATCGGTTGGAATCGGGAACGGCAACGGCAGAAAATTGAAAAACCATCATGTCTAGCATCAACGTTGCGGAATACTGGTATATAAAGAGTTTAACGTCAAGCGCATGATTGTGCGCAGTGGTGTAGAACGTCCCAGTTTATAAATCGACCTGTAATATTTCCGGCTTGACTAACTTAGTTATCATGGATGACACGAGTCTCAATTACTTGATCCAGAAGCACCGTTGCCGCATCAACAACTACTGGTTAGTTAACTAGATCTTGAAAGTAACCTGCGACCTGTGATTGAAAAACCGCACCTTGTGGTCCATCCTGCGAAACACGAGGTGCATCGGAATACAGGCATTATGATCACAGTTTCTTCCCGGATGTTGGTCTTCAAATCTTGTAGGGTACTTGAACATCCCCATAAACACTTCAAAAAACTCCATAGAAAAAATGGTCCTAATTGTCCCTAACTAGAGATGAGCCGCTCTGGGAGGTGTTCCCTCAAAACAGCCATGGATGCTCTTGATGTCTGTGCCGTTGCACCGTCTTGTTGGAACCAAATGTCCCTCAAGTCCAACTCAAATAGCCGTGAAAAAAAATCCCTGTAACATTTTTACAAACTGGTCCGAAATTATCACTACGACTCCATTTACCTCAAAGAACGGGGGATCAATAACTCCAGCTGGGGAGATGGCACACCACACTGTGATTGTAGGTGAATGCAAAGGCCTTTGGTGCAAAATTCTTGAAGATTGCTGTCGGCCCAGTAGCATATGATATGTTTGTTGACGGATCCACACAAATGAAAATGGACCTCATCGCTAAAAAAAAATAGCGTTCTTAGGAACGACTTCATGAAGGCATTAACACGTCTTCATCTGAGAATTGAAGTAACGTTAAGAAAATCTCTGCACAATCAATTTCCATCTTGTAAGGATGGAAATGAAGATCATCATGGAGAATTCTCCTCGTAGAAGGAGTCCAAGAGCAGACGCATGTTTGCGTGCAGAACGCCGTGGTGATTGCAATATTGAAGCTCTCACTGCCTCAATGTTTTCAGGTGATCTAATGAGCAGTACAACTCCAATTCATCGACAGTTGCAGTTGTCTGAACGTAGTGACCAACGTAACAATTGATTTCTGGTCCGGGACAGGGACCAACGGGGCTAAATTAAAGCGAATCCGAAAGAGCTGATCACAGAACATCCGCTCATAAACTAGGTCTCAACAGAAAAAACACGTTCTTTACTGTTCCAACCAATGATGGCGACTGAACTGAGTCAGGATAAAATTCTATAGTCCCGCCTCTCGAACGGAAACACTAGCGGTCCCCTACGACATCAACCGACTGAATGGCGCACATTTTAAAAAAGAAATTTATGCTCCCGCACCCTATATTTTGAAATAATAAGCATTTTGTTTTTTCACTGAAAATACCAATACAATAAACAAATTTTTTTACTATTCCAGGGTAAAGCGATCTTTGCTAGTGGAAGTCCCTTCCCTGCATTCGAATATCAAGGAAAGACATTCATCCCTGGTCAAGGAAACAACTCTTACATTTTCCCTGGAGTTGGTCTGGCAGCTGTATGCGCTGGTATCAGAAATATCAGTGAAGAACACTTCTTGATTGCTGCCCAAGTAAGTATTCAGAAATAAATCATTTTAATTTTGGAGAGACAGAATAATATATATTATTCTGTACACATATGTATATATATATATATACTATTTAGTCAGCTATGTGCCGTTAAACAGAGCTTTTTCGATAGTTTGATTGTTGTCATACGATCGAGAAATGGATGAAACATCCCATAAATGAATACAACCGCTGGTCAATGCATAGGATTACCCGGAACTTTTTACCTTTTGTAGGGTTCTTCTTTCAATATTTGACAAATGCTTTTTTTTGAATAGAGGAGATAATAAATTTATTTTCAGGCTCTCAGTGAATTAGTGACACAGGATAATCTAGACCATGGAAGCATATATCCACCACTTTCCACAATAAAGGAATGTTCCGTGAAAATAGCAGTAAAGGTGATCGAGTATGCATACGAGAAAGGTAAGCTAGAAGTCAATCAGTTTTTATACATATCACAAAGAATTCTTCTAAAAAAAACGTGTCGGTATTCCCCAGATATTTCCAAGCTATTCATGATAACAATAATCTGAATGTTATCACATTTCAGGGCATGCTATGGTACACCCAAAACCCTCTGACATATATTCCTACGTCCAAGCTCAGTCCTACAACACTGACTATGAACCAGCCGTAACTGAACCTTGGGACTACCCAGCAAGTTGCAAACTTGACAAGTAATCCTTTTCCTTTTTCCTATACTATCCATATCCTTATTTTATATAAATTTGGTGTAAAAAGTATTGATCTAAAGGTTAAACTGAAAAAGTGCTCAAAGAACATAGCTTATTGAAAAACTTGCAATAACAGTTTTTTAATAACTTCTATGAAATAGTTTGAAGAATTTAAGCTGTAAAATTAATACAGAAAATTTGTGGATATTGTACAACATTTGATCATTACTTAATGTGTGAAAAGTTATAACAGAGCTGGGGCAAAATTTTGAATACAATAGACACAGACATCTACAAGTATATGTTTATGTTTATTCAGGTTTGTAAAATTTACGCATCTCTATCATTCAACTAGACAAAGCATTTCTAGGTACTTAAAACACTTCTTTTGTTCAGGTAATGCGACTCTTCAACCTAAACCGGACGACTTAACAGCATTTGTCAAGGCCCAAATGTACAATACAGAGTACGAGCCCGCAGTTCCCCCAATTTACTCGATACCCAAATTATAAATCGCATTTTATTATTATATTTATATATGTGTGTAAAATGTAAATAAATATTTAATATACACTTTTTAATTCCTTGGCAGTGGGTGAGAAGCGTACGGAATGTATAATATGCAGATATTTATTATTTGTTAATTTTGTGATAGATTGACACATTGTGAACATTTTATGAATAAATGTATACCATATGTTGTAAAGTACTTTGATTTTTGGCACAAAGCCTGTTTGACTCGCTGCCTTCAGTGGAACTTTATTCGTTTATATCAATGTACAACTCAGCTCAATAAATTTAATGCTTTTTTTAATATTCAATAGTAATGTCTTTATTCAGAAAAATGATCATAGTCATAGCAAAGCTTAGCCATGCTACTATACCACTTAACCATACTACAACCAGACATCACAAAATCATTAACTGTAAGAAATGCATTAAAAAGGAGTAAATATAGAATATGAACATAATACAAAAAATAGAAACAAAAGAACGGACCTATTATAAAGAAGCTATCATTCGGAAAACTGAATTTACCAATGTGCTGAGCCCAGAAAGTGCAACTTGACTGTCTTTTTGAAGCTCTACAAACTTAAGCTCTTAGATAAATGTTATTTTCGTGCAAAAAACAAATTTTACCTTATTTCTTCTAAACAAATTCAAACATTTCGTATTTGTGAGTAATTGAACAAGTGCTACGATTTTCGAAAAACATACGTTACTATACACATTTTAAATCAAAGCGGATGTATCTATCGTCTTTTGTTGTGAATTACTCACAAATACGAAATGTTTGAATTTGTTTAGAAGAAAAAACCTAACCCATCCTTTTTTGCATTGACCTTCCGGAATGGTTTGCGATTCATATCGCCAAGGTAAACTAGTGTATTTTGCTATAAAATGCCCTTTCAACTAACCCTGGATATTGCTCAATAAGCTAGTAGTGTTTTCCGGAAAACAGGTGTTATGGGATAACAATTAGAAACTCTCAAAAAACTAGTTGGCCAATCTACTCCAATTTTGTTGTGGTTATTTAGGAGTACGAATCCTACGAATTTCAAATATTTGCGAGAAACTATCGTCGCATTACCAACAAGTGCCAAAACCTGCAATTTGCCTCGGTTTTCGGCCATTTTGTTGCTATTAGTCGAATCTTCTTATGTGTGGTCTCATGTTTTAGGTCTCATAAATACCTGAAAATCCTATATGAAGTGTTTTTTTGTTCCTGCCAACACTTTCCATTGAATCCCAAAAAAACACGTTTTCTCATGCTCTGTTGTCGACCAAAAGTTTTCCCACAAAAATTGGTGTACCCATTTTATGCGTCCATGTTTTGAATACCCCACTGAACAACTTGCAGCAATAAAACCAGACTTTACAATTATTTCGCAAACCAGAGGTATTATTGTCTAATATGATTAGGCTACTAAGACCAAACATGAATCTGCAACAGTTCTGAAGCTTCTGTAATTTTGAATTGCAAATCAAGCCTAGACATGGGTAAATGAGGACTAGTGAGTAAGCTAAAATTGACAATATGATGCTTTCGAACAACTTTTTACGCTTCTTAAAGTTTAGAATATGGCGATTAGAATATAAAAGCCTCATCTTCAAATAACTGGACTTCATAATACTATTCACATGTATGTTGAAGCTAAGATTTGAATCAAATATAACACCTAGATTCCTAGCATCATCAAAAAACACTGGTATTATGTAAAAAACCTATAAAATGTCATCTTGCAGACTAGGTAGTTTTTTTGCAAACAGTCATTCCACGTTTGCTCACAGGATCGTTATGAGCGTCCATCTATGGAGGAATGACTCAACTAAACTACACTCATTTTTGGTTGCATATGTTTTGTGAAGCCAAGTGGTCTGTAGTTTTCATCTCCGAGGAGAAAGTTGGTTCAATAGCAAGATCGCATCTGAATGATTATGTGCATGAGTATAAAATCAGTGATATTTGCTGTGTGAAAAAATCATTACTGAATATGCTGCCAATGAAGTAGGTATAGCTAAGCCCGACGAGTTATTTGTGTTGTGCTTTCTGAAGAGAGGTTATGTTTAAAGCTATAAATTGCGAAAAACTTTGAGAATTACGGGAAATCACCACCGCACCCACGTTGTGTGTAATTACTGATAGCATCTATGTATATGACTTGTAATTCGACAGTGTAAAGTAAATATAATTATGCCTTATCTCTCTCATTTTTGAAATTCAGCAAATTTGCATATATGTAATTTCCAGAATGGATAAGAAAAAGTGGACCCGCAACTAATTTCTGGCATTGAATCTCAAGTAAGTGTATTTGAGACAAGAATCCAATGGAATTACCACCAACACATACAACGTCCAGTAATGCCATCTCTGAAGCAGATTTTACATCACATCAGCGCCAAACATTGATAAATGAAGCCATGACAAACCAACATAATGTAAAAAAACAGTACGTCAAAAAATCGATATATCGTCACTTTTCAAGATACGTAATACCCGTGCGGATTTGTGATATTGTAATTTGAATATCTATGGAAGGCAAAAGCTGATGTCGCCGACTTACGCCTCCGCTGGGTAATATACAGTGAGGTTTTCCATTTATGCTCTCTGTGATGCATGAGACGCATCAGTTGTGTAGCATTGTTAGTAACATAATGTATAAGTACAAGATGCGCTTTGAACCGAATGCTGTTGTAGTCACCGTTCTTGGTGGGTCAAAAAAAGACTACCAGTATTGCTTTATATATCTCTATCTTCCTCATAGATACACAAACAACCTACCCCTGTGTGTAAACGTTTGTTCGGTACGCTCAAAGACATACGTTTTTTAGTTTGTCTCCGTCTCGAAAAGTTTGTCGTTACGTAAGAGTGCCCTTCAATCATATTTGTCAGGCTGACAACTTACTCGACATCGGCGTGCCGTTCGAGTTGTCCTGATATCGATCTTCAAAAAAAATTGTACAATGCCCGGAAATACGATCAATGGAGAAGACCGACAGCTAGTGCGAAATTTATTATAGTATTTCCAGAAAGAGCATGAAAACAGTGGTCCTCTGTTACCCACTTAATGCGTACTGGAGAGAGTAGCAGATGCGCTGAAAATTAGTCTGCGCAGTGTTCCGCCCATGGTACGGAGACTCGATCAGTTTACTTATTTCTTATGGCGTTGATGACCCAACCGCCAAGAACGGTGACTACAACTTTTTTTATAACGTGGTTTCTATCACTTTACAATATCTGAACATACATAATTGTTCTTCAGATGTGATATATATTATCTAGTGACACAAGTTTAAAACTCTGTCCAAAGTTTATTAAATTTCATAAATAATTAGATTGGATCATTTGAATATCAACTATTTGTTACTTAAACTCAAAACTGCTGATCACTATACCCAGTATTACGAATAAATAAACAGTAAAACCTTGAAAGTGAATTATTTAAATCCGTGAAAAGTAGAGGAAAATTTCTACCTGTTGGGAGGTGACGGGTATACCCCATACGGTACTGTTTTCAGCATATCGGTCGTTAGAAGTATGGTGGAGCTCCAACATCCCAGCATTTCACTACACCTTTACACGTACACCCTATTTCACCAGGATCCATTACGGTAGAATAACAGCTGATTATCTAGTAATATCTCAAAGTTCCCCATATCAGCAGAGGACACAATTCTGACAGATCCGTCATCGCCAGGTAGACAGAGCCGAATTTTGTTTTGGTTTTTTGCTAACAGCTCTTTTATTTTGAAAACCTCATTTGCATACAAAAAACAAAACGCCACAAACAAGTTTTACTAGAATTATACCCAATCCATTGTTGCCAACGTTGCAGACTAACACAAAAACGCCAGTTGCTGATCAGCTGTTCGCCTCAGTAGACGTCAAAGCTTAATGGATACTCGTGAAATAGGGTAGGGGAGATGTGCCAAATATCGCACATATTCCTAATATCGCACCCATCCATATTTTTGCTTGCCAACGTCGCCATCTCACGGTGAATACACTAACTTAAATATGTTAACCCACTGAGTAAATAGAGAATATACAGGGTGTTTCAGTTTATTGTTGCATAACTTTAAGATTCGATAGAACTTTTAAAATTAATGCATAAAGTCTATATAAAAATGGGTCGAAAAATGCGTGGCTTCCGAAATACAGGGTGTTTAAATTTACTTTCTAAAATAGTCTTTTTTAAATATTTCGAACAATATTTGATGTATAACAGTGAAAATTGGTATACAAGGGTTTTTTGGTACGACAAAACGAACCGTGGGCATAGTTTTACTGTAGCCGCTAGAGGGCGCTCTCTCCTGTACCTGTAGTGTATTAAAATAACCGAAAATTTTTTCTTAGTGCAATTTTTTGCTTTTTTAATAAAAAAACTGATTCTTCGCAATTTTCAACATAAAAAAGCTCTCTTGTGAATCTTCGTTATAGTTAGCCGTTTTTGAGATATTTCGATTTTTAAGGTTCGATGCATTTTTAATTATTTATGGGAAAATAATATTTTTTTTACATTTTCGATTTGGACATTACAAGTAATTAAGATGATCGTTTAGATTGTGTTTTTAAATACAGCAATAATTCCTAACTCCAAATAAACACAAAAAACAAAATATTAATTTGTTTAATTTTCCAATATTATTTTTAACAAATTAAATTAATTATTTACATCTAAAATGCTATTGGATAGTTAGGACAAATATACAACATCTGAAGTAGTTGCTCGAAATGTAAACCCAATTGTTCAATACACAATTCACATCTACGAATGATCGAACGTGGTATAGCATTATTCAAATAAGGCCTTATTTCATCACATGCATTCCTAATTCTGTCTATTAGCATATCTCTTGTGGTTACGGGAGTCTGGTACACTTTTTCTTTTAGAAATCCCCACACAAATAAATCTAATGGATATAGGTCAGGGGATCGTGGAGGCCAGGCGACTGGTCCTCCACGGCCGATCCATCTTTCTGGATAATTTTCGTCCAGCCAGTTTCTAACTATTCTCGAATAATGAGCTGGACAACCATCAAGCTAGAACCAGGCCAATCTTCTTAAATCTAACATAACATCATCCCACATATTTGCATGTTCAGCCTTTAAAAATTCCAAGAAGGTTGCAGCATTTAACCTTGCAGGCAAAAGGTAGGGTCCAAATAGTCGATTACGGTAGATACCAATCCACACGTTCACACTAAATTCATGCTGAAAATTTCTTTCCCGAACTACATGCGGATTTTCATGCGACCAAATATGTTGATTATGAAAATTTACCACTCCACGTTAAGTGAAGTGAAGCATGACTCATCGGTCCATAAAACGTTACTTAAAAACTCCCTATTATTATCAGTTCTGTCAAGAATCCACTGACAAAATGTGATTCTTCGTTCTTCGTCCCCTGGCTGTAGTCCTTGCACAGGTTGCAAATGGTAAGGACGTCTATGGTCATTTCTAAGAACACGGTGAACATGGCTTGCTGAAATTCCCAAGGCACCAGAAACTCTCGTGGTCGGATCTCTATCAAACTCACGCAGAATCATACGGGTAAATCTGCGCTCACGAACATTTATGTTTTGATCCCTTTGGAGATTTCCAGAACCATTTTCAATTATTTGGCGATGCATGCTTACAAATACTGAGCGAGTTGGATGTCGTCTGTTTGGAAATCTTCGTGCGTATTCTCTTGCTGCTTCTGCTGCGTTTCCATTTACAAAGCCATACACAAAATGAATATCTGCTAACTCTTAATTGGAGAATAACAATGGCATTTTTATAAAACTTAAAAAAAACAGGTAAAAGAAACTAAATTTCGTGCATTCACAATTGCAAAAAAACGTTTCAGGTTTCAACAGACAACAAAACTGTCAACTAATTGACGTTTAACCTTATTCTGCTTTCAATTTCAAAAATATTTGCAAGCTCAGCCTACTTCTAAAAATTATCGAGATACGGACTTTTTAACGTTATTTTATCATGAATAATTAAAAATGCATCGAACCTTAAAAATCGAAATATCTCAAAAACGGCTAACTATAACGAAAATTCACAAGAGAGCTTTTTTATGTTGAAAAGTGCGAAGAATCAGTTTTTTTATTCAAAAAGCAAAAAGTTGCACTAAGAATTCTTTTTCGGTCATTTTAATATACTACAGGTACAGTAGAGAGCGCCCTCTAGTGGCTACAGTAAAACTATGCCCATGGTTGGTTTTGTCGTACCAAAAAAACCTTGTATACCAATTTTCACTGTTATACATCAAATATTGTTCGAAATATTTAAAAACCTATGTTAGAAAGTAAATTTAAACACCCTGTATTTCGGAAGCCACGCATTTTTCGACCCATGTTTATATAGACGCATTAATTTCAAAAGTTCTACCGAATCTTAAAGTTATGCAACAATAAAATGAAACACCCTGTATAAACGTTGTTTGACAATATCGTATCACACGAATATATTCAAACACGTACAGTTAGCCTCAATCCAACGAAAGAAAGGTAAGTACTACTAAAAGTATTTTTCATGTAGTTCATATTATGCAGTTTGTGGATGTGTCCTTTAAACTCTCACAGGGTTTGGTATTTTTGTCGTACAGGTGGCTATATTGTTTTTTCAATGTAAGCCTAATATCGTACACCTTGAGGTAGCCTAATATCACCCTGTACGGTATTGGGGATGATAGTCAATAGCTTCATTTGCAGAGCAGACAGTGACGGTTGATGACTGTCATTGACTGTAGTATGTGATCCCGCCGCCGTATGAATTCCGTCCATTCTGCCATGGTAATGTAAACAAAATCCATACGCCCTGATGTCAAAATACAGTCAGAAACCGTTACCAATCGGAACTGACTGTTCTGCGAATGAAGCTAATATGTCCCTGTTACAGTGCACGGCTGCAAACACCACGACTATCACTTAAACAGCTTTGTGCAGACTAAATAAGTTTTGCAACCATTCTCAATTGTTAGAACATACTGTGTATTATACTGGAGGCTCTCCTTTTTAGATGGATGTTAAAATAAAAAGAAAGCGTAAGCAATGGACTGCAGACAATATGAAAAGGGCCATATTGGCTGTTCGAAGAAAAGAGATGGGACTGCTCCGAGCGTCAAATCATTTTGGAGTCCCAAAGTCGACTTTAAAAGATAAATCAATAGCAACGTCAAAGACAATGACAAATTAATTGGAACTAAGCTTGGCCGCAAGCCCATCTTGGCCGACAAATCAGAAAATATTTTGATTTCTTATTGCCTCGAAATGGAGAAGCATTTTTATGGCTTAAGAACCAAAGACCTCAAGAGGATGGCATTTCTACTCGCAGAACGAAATGGCCTTCCACACCCGTTCGCTAAAAAGGATCAGTCTGCAGGATGGAAGTGGCTCGCTCTTTGATGAAAAGGCATCCTAATTTAAGCTTCCGGAGACCAGAAACAACCGCAATGTCAAGAATAAGGGGGTTTAAGAAAGAAAAGGTTGATTTTTTTTTGACATATTTGAGCCTTTAATGGACATCATTGGACATTTGCCAAATAAGCTGTACAATTGCGATGAAACGGGGCTCACCATTGTGCAACACAAAACAAGTAAAGTCTTAGCCTTAAAGGGAAAGAGACAAGTTGGCGCTCTTTCATCTGCCGAAAGAGATTCACTTGTAACTGTAGTGACATGTATGAGTGCAGCGGAGGATTATATTCCACCGCTGTTCGTATTTCCCAGGGTTAATATGAAGGCTGAATTGCTAGATGGAACCCCAAATGGATCCATCGCTATATACCATAAATCCGGCTGGATTCAAATGGACGCTTCCTGCAGTAGTTTAGAAAACAAGTTTTTGCCTAACGTGAAGCCCAGCAAAGATGACCCTGTCGTACTGGTTTTGGATGGGCACTACTCGCATACCAGGAATTTAGAACTGCTTGCACTAGTTGCACGAGAAAATGGAGTGCATATAATTTCCTTTCCTCCGCATTGTACCCATAAAATGCAGCCGCTTGACAAAGCCTTTATGTCCCCGTTGAAAACATACTATGCGCAGGCCATCGAAAATTGTTTGGGACAAAACAGTGGTAGAGTTGTTACACATTACCAGGTTGGAAGACTTTTTGGAGAAGCCTACAATCAAGCAGCAACGGTCGCAACAGCAACAAATGGATTTAGAATCACAGGTTTATTTCCTTGCAATTGCAACGTTTTCCAGCCTCATGAATTCGTTTCTGATGCGAATGGTAGCGATTTTGTTCAACAGGATCAAAATATTTCCATAACCCAAATAGAAGATAGAGAGTCTCAACCAAGCTGCAGCGTAATTCAAAACAATTTAGAGGAACGCCCAAAAAATAAATGGAAAAGGAGCTAAAACACTGCAAAGGAAATGTGTCGGAAATGTGGCTAGGAAATGCTTCGAAAATCAAGAAAATGAAGCTCCAGCTGAAAAGGAAAGTGAAAGCCGTACAATGAGTCAAAAGGGACGAAAAAGCGACTAGAAAAAACAAAAAAGCAATCAGTAACCTCTTCAGATTCAGATATTGATATAGCCAGAAATTTTTACAGTTTCCACAGATGATGAAGACTGTGGAGATAACTGCGAGTGTCCGTACTGCAATGAAACCTATTTGAGCGACAGAGCGGGCGAAAAGTGGATTGCCTGTATCAAATGTAGAGTCTGGTGTCATGAAGAGTGCTAACGGACTGATGATTATCAAAAATTTGTTTGTGACTTTTGCTTGTAGTTTGATCTTTCTTTTAAATTCTGACTGTACAGTGTCTGTTTTAAGGAATACGGTTTTATTTTATGTATCTATTTAGACTGATAATAAAATAAATGGTTTTCGCATACTTTGTCCCACTTACACTATCCCACAAAAAAGGTAATCCTAATATCGCATACCAGTGCGATATTAGGAACACATTTTTTTGAATACTGGAAATGATCTGTCACTACATAGACATTTGATGGAGTTCATTGAAATACATTCACTGTTCACTTAGACCATACAATTTCCAAACTTACTGAACAAGAATCACATTTGTTCCATCGTAATTAACGATTTTATATAGTTATTTCCAAATGGGTGCGATATTCGGCACATTTCCCCTATACTACCTACGGATGAATTTTCGAAAACAGAATTTTTAGATCACTTTCACGAATCGTTAAAATCGTTCATTCTCGGAATATCCGATCCATAAGTTGCCGAGATTTTATCTCGAAGGCAACCAGATATACAACTTCAGGTCCGTAACGAAAATTATGAAATGGAGTTGGACCTCTGATTAATTAGTTGCAGATACTTCAAACAAAAATGTAGGATTTTAAGAAAACTATTGTGTTATGGTCAAAAGCCTTGCCCAATATGTAGAGAAATTGAACTGATTTACCAGGTACCAATAACCAAATATGCCCGAAAATTGCATATACCCAATTGTGCTTAGCAGGGCAATATAACACTTATTAATACAGAAATATTCATGGGCGCGCACAAAAGCGGGCATAAATTCCATTACATATCACTTCTTCACAGAAGCGTGTATCGGCTCTGGCGTCGCAAGCTTCACGATACCGCAAAATCTCGCATTGGCTGCTGTCTGTAAACACGGAAGACATGTTGTCGCGCTGCAAAATAAAACGCGCGTTTAGTTCACACGACTGACTCGCGTTTGATCGAACGCACATTTGTAGCGATAATTATGTGTGTAAATGCGGGTACGCATATGAACACGAACGCGAATGAGGCAACCCGAGGACGAACCATTTGCCTCGGTTACGGGAAGTTCGATCCATGGGATGCGGCGAACATTCTTGAATTTCGGTAGCTTTTAAAATACGGCCGATTCAGATTCTGATGGTGAACTTGCTGCGTATTTTATAATTTTAACCAGTGTATCAAGGAAGAAAAAACCAAAACGATGATCGTCACAATTATATATTAACAGAAGATAATTGAAAGAAAATATCACAGCTTTGTTAAAAGATATCTTGGCCGCCATAATATTCGCGTTCGTACTCATATGCGTACCCGCCTTAATGCATAGAGTTCGTCAGGACTAATCGGCGCGCGTCGAAACGCGGCGGATGGAGGTAGTCTCACAATAACGCGCGTTTGTTTTCAAGCGCGACAACTAGTTGTCCGTGTACGTGTGTGCTTGCGCGCGCGCGTGCGTGTACAGTGAATGTCATACATTGGTACTTGGTTGCGATAACGCGCGTTCCGATTGCGCCAACGCCAAACTCTCATCAACGTGCCGGAAAAAGTGCCGTGTACATATATATGATCTTAGTACGATTGACATTGTTTTGTGTATATCTTTACCCCAGCACTCATTTCTTCATTATATCGAAAACATCAGCTTATTAGTTGAAATCTCATTCCAAATTAGCTACTCGTTCACGCACAAGGTGTCATTTCAAGTTTAAACTTTTGGAAACATTTTTTAAAGCGACCTGAAAGTCATCTGTTGAAACTGTTCAATACCCTTTATAGAGTTTGAACCAAAAACCACAAAATTTTCAAGGAAATGCATGGAAATCAAACATCCCTTTCCAAGTGATTTATTGCTTCATTAAATACATCTTATATATACAAATGAATCCCTATTTCGCGTGGTCACGCCATAACTTGAGAACGACTTTAGTGATTTCATTCATCTCATTTTTAAAGTTTCCTATTGCTGTATAGAAGGTTCTTGCGGAAAGAAAATTGAACAGAAAATTGGGAAATCATTGAAAACCTGATTATTTAAGCTACGCGCATTTGAGCATGGAGTACCCACAGCAGAAGAAATATCTCAAATACCAAAAGAGACAGGCACTTCTCTCCGCCATCTTTATTGCAACAGCTATTGACAGTTGGCTATGGCTTATGAAAATACGGTGCTTTCGTTTTTGGACTTGCATTTCTTTACCATCCGTACTTTGTGATGGCCACTTCAAAAGAAACTGCAGTGTTGCCCAATTGTTATCTTTGCCAGTTAACTTTATGAATAAAAATAGCGGATGAAAATACGTTTCTTTTGCTTAATTGACTTTCACTACTCTATCATTTTGAACTTGACAGCTCGCACGCCGCAAATTTATATTATCGTTTAACAGTGTTTATCGATGAAAAAATATTGTTATATTCAGTGAGTTTTTTGAGGAGTATTTGTTCAAAAATAATTAACAATGGTGGAAGTTAATTCACCGCAATCACGCCTTATATTAAAAATGTGATTCTTAAAAATGCTACCAAACGTACCTACCTAGGTCGCAGAATTCGCAATGCTGCAACTCAAAGATATATATGAAGAAGTCAAACTGACGAGCAGCAAGAAGCGAGAAATCAAGTTGAACGGGATCGAAGGACTGAATTTCAACAACGTAGAAGTATCTCATTTAATCCCAATCGAGCTGCATTCAATTATACCGTGGCAATTGATTACAGTTCACAACAAGTCATTGCTATTGGACCAATGAACGTTGTGAGTCCACATTGCAAGGCTTTCAAGTTTAAAAATGAAGCCCCTGGATTATGTTGCGTCAGTGGAAAAATCAAATTGACTTTATTGGTACCACCACCAGAATTACTACATTCATTGGTTTCCAGAAATGGGCCAGATTTTACACATTTTTGACTCATATCCAGCAATACAATAATTGCTTTCAAATGACATCATTTGGCGATACAAACACCCCTCTATACAATTACCTACATTCCATATATTTACCCTTTTATTATTCATTATTTATCCCAGTTCACAGCTAAGTCAGGACAACGTCTGTCGGATCAGCTAGTTTACATTAAATGTATAGGTATAATAACTACATTAACACAAATTAAACTCAAATATAAATTAACAAAATTGAACTATCGAACAAATACACACTAGACTCTAAGATACAACAAATTAATAATGACTATATACATCTATTAAACAGACATTGCACGTTTCTGTTACCACAAAAAATTACAAAATGCAACAATTACGAAATCTGATTTTAAAGCTTATACAACATAAGCAGGACTAAATGAATGAATGAATCTTGAAATTAGAGGCATTCCGGCCACCATAAGGAGCCAGTGCATAGGATGCTTAAGCGGGCCCTTATGCACCTCTACAATCCTTAGACCACAAGCCTCTCCCTTTTAGCGAAGTTGAGAATCGCCTTGAGTCCAAGCTCCTTGACGTCCTGAGGGTCCAAAGTAATGGACCCCAGTATAGTCTGCCTATAGTAGCTCAGAGCTTCACAGCGACACAAAACGTGCGCCGAGATCTCTTCCTCTACCCCGCAGCGTTCACACAAGGGATCCTCAGCCCCCCGTCACGTGCAGCTGACCGCCTTAACATGTTATGGCCAGACAACAGTCCCACCAACAACCTTAGGTTCGCTCTATCCAGAGATAGGCAGAAGCGTCCATCCTTAGCACTGGGTTCTTCAATGAGTTCCCGTGCCTGGCGGAGATGTCTGGAGATGCTTCTCCATTTCTGAGAGTGTTGTATTGCAACCCACGTCTCCATTTTCCTCCTAGCTTTATGCGCGGTCACTCCTAGAGCTGGCTCAGGACCAACCCGCCGTCTCATTGCCCCTTATCCCAGCGTTTCCCGGTACCCATATTAACGATACCTGCCTCGCTGCGAGGCAATCCAGAGCCTCCCTGCATTGCAATACAAGACTCGAAGTAATCTTACAGGCACTTAGTGCTTTCATTGCAGCCTGGCTGTCGGATAAGATTGTTATTCTTCTAATTTCTGTTACCACAAAAAATTACAAAATGCAACAATTACGAAATCTGATTTTAAAACTTATACAACTTTATGTTGTTTGTAAAGGAAGAAGTTCCATAAAAGATTTTTTGAGGAGCAAAACACAGTTATACAATACTTCTGAAATATGATGGAACCAGGTTGCTTGCACACAAAAATTAATAATTTTGGTGTGATACCCATGTATTGCTGCAAATAACCCAGACCTTCAGGCTCAATATTCCTCAAATTCTGTTTTTATATAAACCACATGACTATCAACTGCATCTAAAGTATTGCGATCAACTTCTTTCCGATGTCGTACATACTTATCGTTGGCCATTTTGTCACCACTACTTACAGGACTGTCACTTTTATTCTCAAAAACAAGTTCTCTTTTGATAACGACCCCTTGATGAAACAACTTATAGTGATTTAAAGTATCAGATTTGGACTGACCGAAGAACTTGCAAACAGGACATGAAAAATGACTGTCAACAGTCTTGTTTTCAATACTTCCGCTTTCACGAGTTTCTTTCTTGGCCCTATTTTTATGCTCAGTTTTAAAGTGAATCAGCATATCCTTTTTAGACGCAGCTTTGTAACTACACTCTAGACAAGGAAAATATTTCTTAT